AAGAAAAACCAGCCCCTCCCCAACCTGGCCCTTGCTGTACCTTCTCCTCAGCTTAGTTTGATACTCTTGGCAAGTCGAAATTGCAATTTTGCTTTCTCTGTCTGCAGAAGAGAGTACAAGGCATAGCATCAAATTTTGCCAAAGGTGTTGCGTGACCTTTTTGATATATAAAAAAAAAAAAACCTTGAAAATTCTGATGTTCTGAAAATTGCTTTTCTGTCTCATGTTTAGAGTCTTTAAATTAATGTTAAATAGGTCTTCTGGTAGGAGTGATCATACTTGCCTCTTTTTATTTCTGATTGCCAGTTCTTCTTAATCAAAGTTGTAGCTGAAAATTCTGTAGAGGTTTTATGAATCAGTTGCATGCTACTTACTGTGCTTTGCAGACTACAGTAAGGGAAAAATGGGCTTAATAGCGAATGAATTATTTGTTGCTGTTTTATAGCTATTAGACATTATCATATTGGTTTTAAATATTCCTAAGCCTAAATCTGTAGACATACTGTCAAAACTGATTTAATTTTTGAGTCTATCTATTGCATTTTTGGTTTTATATTAATACAGTTATATTTTATTATGTGTCCTGAATGATTATTTTGGAAACGGTGTTCATGCAGTGTAAGATGATCTACAGTAACTACTGTTGATCACTGCATTTTCTTTGGTATAGTTTTGTTGATTTTTATTTCTAATTATTATGTTACACTGCACTCGGTTATGACAATCAACTATTAATGAAGTAAACTTTGAGAGCATAATGGTGCAGAGAGCCTAAAATCTGTAAGGGATTTATCTATTAAATGTAGTTAAGTGTGTCTGGGTGTCTTGCCAAAGGTCATAGGAAGAATTTATAACCAAGTGAGTATAACATATACTTCATGTCCAATTCTCATACTTCAGTTATACAGCCACACTTCATGTGTATTTTCTAGTTTCCCATGTACTCCAGAAATTTGTTGTAGAAATTAAGTCCTCAAATACCACTTCTATATGCTGGGCCTCTGTTACAGGAAGATAGTCCAATAAATGTTTTGTTGTTGAAATGTTGGTGCTTATATGTTAATAACACACTTCTCTTTACAAACTGTTCTATTTTTCAGTAGTACTGCTTTTTTGTTTGTGTATGTTTTCATAAATTTTGCTGTAAACAGGAGATAATCTAGTTATTTAAAGCCTAGTTTAACCCTCTTAGCTAATTAAAATTTGGTTTGATATTTACCATTAAACTGTATTTGAGTGAATTAGTCCCCCACCCTTTGATTTAGCTCAGTGTGGTATATTTAGACATAATTTTTTATTAAAGAAGAGATTAGACTACCATAAATAGGAAAAATGTAGGATAGTCTCATTGCTTGAAATCAGTGAGAGGATAAATAGGGGCATAAAACTTCCTAGAAATTCATATATCCAGGCAGGATTTTATTCATGCTGTATTTGGAAAAGAAAAAAAGGGGACATGTGCAGAAACTGAGTACAATTAGTGTCAAGCAGATAAATCCAACTCTAATCCTGTTTACGCTCTACATCAGACAGATGTGCTGAGATTGATTTAGACAAGCCCTTGGCTTATAGTATTTTTTTTAAGTGCCATATATTCTGTTTTTGTTAGATCTTTGTTAAATGTTAAATGTTGTTAGTTTTACTCTTCCTAACGCCTGTAACCTACTTTATACAGGTTACCTCTCTGCTCTCATGATGACAGAGTAGCCTGGTAGAAGAGATTATCTTTATTCCTTGTAATTAAATTGACTTTTTTTTTTTTTTTTTCAGAAGATACAACAATGGGAAGTGGGTACTGAATTAAATAAATAGCATGATATCTAATAGATGTATACTTAAATCTCTTGCAAGAACAGATGGTACCCAATATCTTTCTAAGTAATGTGAGAGGACAGTTAATGTCCTGAAACAGCTAGCAATAACTAATACGATACTAACGACCCAACAGGGTTTTTTAAGCTTTAAAAAGTGTCTAATCCAATATATGTTTTATTTTTAAAGTAAACTTGGTTGTTATCACATACTGGAAATATTTTATAAACATAGGTCATTACTTAAATTTTCTTTATCTAAATTGTTTTATAAAATCTTACTGCATTTGCAATGATCTTATTTTCGGTAAAAATAGAAGATGAAAATTATAGTATATGCCTAGAGATTTTTATGCAGATTTCTTTCAACTTATGTAAAAAATTGCTGTCCTAATCCTACTAGGTAGTTCATTATGTCCTCTACAATTTAAAACTTGAGAATGATGCTTTTGTATGATTCAGTATTCCTGCAGTTTATACGATTCTGCAAGCTGTATCTGAAAATGTATTCCAGTAGAACGACTAGAGTCAAATACTATTTTTTAAAGTGTAGTGTGACCTAGTAAGAATGTAATATTTTAATTTTCAAAAGTTTTGATGTGCATCTGAGCAACACAAGAATTTGACAAATTCAGAGTAAGAGGAAGATGTAAAAGCAAACAAAAATCTGGCTGAAATCATAGCATGAAAAGAAAAGCTAAGCCAAGCCTTACCTGGCTTATGACTAAATGTCATTCTATGAATGCTAGTAGGGGAAAAAAAAAGTATTTTACTAGGCCTTCCTTTTACTTGATTTCTGCAGGACAAATAGGCTAATGTTTATAATTTATTTGCAATGCATATGCGTAACATTAGCGTAAGAGAATTTGTGATATTCTCAGTGAAACTAATAGTTTAATCCAAAATGTTATTTGTTTAAAAATATTCAAAAGGCAAACTCATTTGGCATATTTCTGTTGGTCTGGGGGAATAAATGCTGCATTTCAGTTGTTTTTATCTTTACAATTTTTCCTAAAACACTGAGTTTGTGTGCTGGAATTTTCAGTGTTCTGTATGTTTGACAGCAAGACTTTCTGGAAAAAGATAAACCAACCCCCTCAAAAATGCTGGTTTTAAAATTAAAACAAGTCTTAAATGTAATGAACTATGTAATTCTAGGTAAGTGATTTAGGATATCACAAGTAAGTGTTTCATTTAAGGATTACAAAGACTATTTACCCCCAAATATTTTAGAAGAGCAATACAAAGTTTGGAAAAAATGAAGATCTCAGGTTTGTTAATGCTAGGATTAAGGTTGCTTGTACAATGTCCACTCACCCTTTGAGTCTATGCAAAATCATAGTTCAGATGGAATCATACAATTTATTTTTCCCCTCAGTCCCCTGGCTTCATTCAAAGTATCTCATAGAAAATACTTTTACAGCAGTCGTTACAGTACTTTAAGATTTATTTTATTTTATATTGTTTGGTGAGTTGCCTTCTGCTTATTTGCTCCATACTTCTGAAAATCTGCACTACAGATAATTTCCCATGTTCTATCTTGGTGCACACAAACATATGCTTGTCACAGTTTTCCTGCTAAGTATGGAATGGTTTTAGTTCAATTTTACACCTTAGTAGCTGACACAGGGAGGAATTGAGATGGTAGAATGTAACAATTTGAAAAAATGTGTGGGAAATGTAATAAGGTCATGCTTCTGTCTCTGCAGTGGGTTATTTGGTGTGGAATAGGAAAAATACTGGAGTGGGTTGGCTGGGAATTGTTGGGAAAGGTAATACTAATGTGAGTTTTAGCTGTGTTAGCATTGCTGAGGTGCAACCCTCCAGGATTTCTGGATGGAAAGATGATCACTACATAGTCTGGTTCAAGAAATGACGTTGAGAAACACCAGTGTCAAACTGTTACAAAAATTGACGCAGGCTGCTTTTTCCTGCTCAGAGAAAGTATGACTTTCTGAAGCCCTCAGCTTCACGTGGTGGAATGAAATAGGTGATACTTGATTTTGCAGTCTCACCTGTAGTGCTGTCCATCTTTTCCAGGAAGACAGTTTAAACAGACTTTTCCGTCTTCTCCCTGGCTTTTCAGTACAACACACAGCAAATATTGATCAAACAGAATCTGTTAAGGCTTTTGCTATTGAGAAACCACTTGACTGAGCTGTTGCTACATTTGCAAAAGATTTCTGGTTTCTAGCTTTTCTTGCCTTGGGCTGCAAAGGGACCTTTATTGGTCTTGCATATCAGATCTGCTGTAATTACAAAGCAAGCAGGGAAACTTTTGTGTCCAGAGTATCTGACACCTAGAGGGATGGTGACATTTTTCCTTCAGTGTGTGTATTTAACTTTGTTTTTGAGAAATCAGGTGTTTTACAGCTCGAGAGAGCAGTAAAGGAGAAATCTGTACCACAGTGATTCAGTTGATACATCTTCAAAAGGCATTTGGAACTAGTGCCATTGAAGAGATGGTGTCTGCAGCCACAAGGTCCACGGGCATACCAGCCTCGAGATAAGAAAACCTTCACTTAGTGTTCCAACCTAACAAGTTTCCCCTGGGGGAAGGGTCTTAAACTGTCACAAGAGCTTTTGAAACTGTTTTTATTTTCCTTGTCTTTTAAGTAAATTCATACCTCAAAAATTAAAGATAAGATGGGTGACACACTTCCGGTTTATTTTTCTGTTTTTGCTTAACTATTTTCTGATATGTTGCTAGTTGAAACCCATTGTATTGAGGCGGGGGGGTTTAAAGTTAAAAAGTTAAAAAGAATCAAATGAAAAAATAAATTTGGCATACAGTCAGCTTGGGTCATAGCACGCTTTCTGATTTCTGAGAGCTAGGATTTAAGAGAATGCAATGAGGAGTTTACTCTTTGAATGCAAACACACAAAAATAGATGGTTCACTAGTTTTGGACCCTGCAATTTTATAGGGTTTTTTGAATATCAGGAAAGGGATTAAATAGCCTCTTTGAAATCGTGCTGTTTCTATAGCTGGATACCTGACCTAAACAGCAGGAAGTTGGTAAAATATAAGACCAGTGACTGAGGCAAATGATATGCAATAAGTTTCAATACAGGCATGAGCAGATGCAAGAAGTGAAGATAGAGATGAAGGCATAACAGTATTTTTTTTAGATATTACTCCTAATCATGTTGATAACACTTCATTTTTATTTTTTTTTTTCCTCTACAGGTGATTCCAGTATGGTTTTACAGGCTCAGGAGGAGATTATTGAAATGAAAGATGTTTTTTCAGTAAAACTGAAACGTCGTCGTTTTGCAGGACAGAAAAATGGTGGTACTTTGTTGGGTATCACAATTTTTAAATGCCTGAATAAAGAAGAAAATAAACTAACAGACTGTGCTATCCACTTAAATAACTTAAGTGAAGATCATTGTCATTTATGGTTTAGACATCTAAAGGAAATTTTGAATGGTAAGCACTTAATTGGGGTTGTTGTTATTATTAATTCAGACTTGTTTTCTGTTGGCAATACATAAGGTTGAGTGAAACTTAGAAAAATATGAATGTTATTGATGGAAAATTTTGTTTACTACTGAAGTTTTACTTTCACTTTGGTGATGTGTCAAATTTTGGAAGGTGACAATAATTGACTAATGCATCTGTAAAAATGAAACAAATTAATGCTACTTTTTGGAAGTGTTTTGGAAGCTACTGAAAATAAGTAGCTTACTTTATTCTGACTGAAGGGTCTTCTGGGAAATCTGTTTTTTAAAGAAATAAAACACATTGTTGATGTTTTCACTTGGAATTGCAACACATCTGATAGTACTACAGCTGTTGCAATTCTGTGACTCTTTAGGAGCTCCCATTTGAAACCCACAGATTCTTTAAGAGACTAATGGGAGAGGCTTTTCTCTTCATAAATTCACAGGTGGAAGTGCTCTTAAGGTTCTGTAGGACTCCTATTGTATGATTTGATACAAAATGTATTGACACTAGCTAGTGGTGAGAGGCAATCCTTGATTTAAAAAATATCTTTCTGTGTTTGGCTAGGCTAATGGCAGTTTCAGGATGCTCTGTTTAACATATAATAGTGGCATTTTTTTCATGGAAGCTGTATCAAATTTAAGAAAAAAAAATATTCACCATGTTGGGTTTTTTTTCCACTAAAAACCAAAGCCTTTCACTGTAATTTAATACCATCAATGTTGGAAAGACAGAGAATATAGCACACTTGTGATTTAAAAAACCAAAACAACAAAAACCCCACACAAACAAAACTGATTTAGCTCCAAAATGTGTCTCTGCTTACAGACTATAGCAAATGAGTTTATTATAGAAGAAAAACAATCCATCTTGTAACAGACTTATTAAAACTACAGCTGAATTGTTAATACTGAGCAAGATTACAGAATTCAAGTCTTACACATCTGTAGCATTTGTAACCACACTTTCAATAGTGATTTATAGTGTACTTCTTAGTAAAAGTGACTTCGTCAAAAGCAGATATTAGAGAAAGTAAAATAACATGAGTTATTAATGGCACATTCTTACATTATTTGCTTATAATATGCTTTGGATTTTTCAAATACAAATGTGTGTTAAAAAGTGCCTTCCTGTGCCCTGTTTTGAAATACTTTATCACAAAGTATCTAAATCTGCAGAAGTGCCAAGATTCTTGCAGATCTCCAGCTACCCATAAAGGCAAGGGTATTTGCATAAGGAGCAAATGTCTGTTTTGTTCCCAGATTCCCCTCCATTCATCATGAGCAGTGATACCATATGTTCACCGAAAAAAAAGCTGCAGTATCTCTTGCTCAGGTTGCCTTGACTTCGAGGTGCAGTGTCTGTTTTATAGCTTTGTAATTGGAAGCCACCTGAACCTGAAAAAAGCATTCTGTGTGATATTGCTGTTTCTAGTTCTTCAGCTTCGGTCTTTCTGCAGAAGCTCAAAACATGTGCAGAGCAAACAATTGCGCTAGTTACAATAAAAGTAGTTTTCACACTGTTGCATTTTGAAGTCTGAGTAGAGATTCAAACTGCCTTTCTATCCCGAAAACCAGGAAAAAAGCAGCAGCATTTCTGCATTCAGTGTGTCAGATTATCAGTAATTGAAACAGTGATAGTATAGCAATGGTATAATTCAGAAAAAAAGTTTTCTGATTTAAAATATACCAAACATTGATAGGAAGTTCCCAGTGCAATTCAAATCAGGACTAAAATTATAAAATGCAGATAAGTTCTGTTGATTCCTCAGTAACTGAAATGTGAAAAGGCACATTGATAAATCTCTGCTTGAAACAGTGATGAATTTTCATAGTTGTTGAACTATGAAAACTACCAGCAGCTTGTTTTCATAATAGTGCTGGTGACGTCTTTGTTAATGAACTCATATTGGGTCCTTTTTGGTTTTCTTATGAACTGCAGGGTAATGGTAAAATTTCATCCTTCTAAAATAGTCAAAATTTAAGTGCATGTCTTTTTTCTAATCTATCTGATCACAAAGTAAATTTTTATTAACTGCTGCATTATTGAAGTTTTTTTAATTGCTTCTAGGCTGGAGCAACTTAAAAGCAGGTAATTTACCAAAGTAGAATATATATATACATTTTGTTATGACTGTCGGTAAACATGTACTTTCATTTGTCAAAGTGGCTAAATATTACTAAAAGTTATGTTTCATTTGAAAATAAATGCAATTTCTATTTGTTTACCTTACTCTTTGATGGGTTTTGGGATTTCTATGCATATATGTTAATTAAGGAGCAACAATAACAGGTTTGTTCTAGTGAAGATTTAATTTTTCTGAAATGCCATGTACATAGTTTCCCTTTTACTGTGCATTCTGTGTCCAACACAAATGTTTCTTGCATGTTTTTTTCCTGTTCTTACTGTCTTCATAGTGAGTATCATCTGTTGCTCTGAATTTGTGTTCAGACTACTTCAATTTAAAGTCTAACTAGGCTATATTTTTTTATGAAGCCAGTCATCATATAAGTGAGCACACAGAAATAATATAGTAGTTTAGAATTTAGTTACAGTGGCTGCTATTATGGCTTTGTGTGTGTGTGACAGGGTAACAAAACACATGTACTACTACCTTCCCACTTTTGAATAAGTTCTTATTTTCAGCATAATGTTGCTGCTGTTCAGATACATGCCAGCTAGATGCAAGGAGCTTGCTTAATGATATGATCTTCAGGAAAACTGTGAACTTCTATATATCGCGTATTTGTTAAACTGAGGTAAAATGCCCACTGCCACCTATGGAGCCTTGGTTCTGGACCGGCTCTTGGAAAGACCAAAATGGCAGCTTTGACAGATTCTATTTGATTCAGTGATTTCCATTTACACATTGCATCTTTTTGTACTGGAATTACAGGCATGTACAGTGGACATACTGTGTCAGTAGCATTCACTTTTTAATTTAAAATCCTCTGTGCATGCAAATACCCAGTGTTTCTTAAAGGGTTAAGAAAGGCCCAGAAATAAGAGAAAATGCATAATTGTCAGTGTTTATCCATTTTTAGTTTTTTTATTAACAAGATAAGACTTATTAACAGTTGACTTGAAAAGTTTTGCTTAAAAACTCTGTAACCTAACAGAAGACGGTAAATATGGTTAAGAATAAATTATAAAGTAGCAAAAAACGCATGAAGTGCATTTTATTTTTATCTGCTGTTCCATAGTATCTCTCACACTGGGATTTGATATGAATGTCTGAAACTTCATGCATGAAGTTTTAATTAAACCATTAATGTTAAACATTAACTTTGGTTAGTTAATATTAACAGTGGTGTCTCCATAGTTACATTAACAAATCTGTCTCATATTATTAGTTTTCCTCATGTATAATATTCTTACTGTTGTATGAAATATTTATAAATGTATGCAATAATGACATGATTCCAGGCTCTTAACTTTTGTAACATAAACCCATTTCATAAAGCTAAGAACTGAAAGCAGCACAGATGTATGTCTGAGCATAGCGTCTCTGCTGCCCTATGAGCCTTTGTTTTCAGAACACCCTGATTGACCCACCACCCTTCATGGTTCACTGATTCACTTGATAGATCAAGTTTAAACTAGTGCATATTAGCACATTTGTTGGTACTAGAGGAACAGTTGGCCTTCCTGCTTTAGGCTGCTGGTTCGTTTCAAATAGAGCAGCCACAGAAAACAATAACAGAATACCAGTTAGGAGAACACCAAAGGGCTGACAGACTGAAATCAGTTGCAGACTGTAGTAAATGGGATTGATTCATGGATATAGATGTTGTTTAAAGAAAATTAAAAGATGATTGTTATTTAAAAAAAATTAAGAAGTTGCATTATATAAGTGTGTGAAAGTTTAATCTTTGACTGTTATTGGATATTCTTTCATTAAACTCCATTGTTTGATGTGCTATAACATGTCCAGTGCATGCTGGGAATGATAAATAATAATTTTTGTCATGATCATGCATTTATGTCAGTGGCAATCATTTGTTACAAACAAAACAACAGCAGTAGTGTACTGTATCTCTGCTCAAATGCCTTGTTTGTGATACTTATTTCTATAAATAAAATAGTTTACCTTTCTAAAAATGTAAATTGATATTCAAATAGTCATAAAGAGAATGTTATAACACTTTTGTCCTGTGAATTCATATTGTTCTTGAAAAATCTCGCTACGATTTATGAATTAACTCTCATATATTTTTCAGTGATAGCCTAATATATATAATCATAAATACAGTTCCTGTTTGACAATCATTTAATGAATTATTTATTTTTAAAGAAAAGGAAACAAAAATTCTATTAAGTTTTTTTCCCACCAATTGAAAAGTCTGTATTCCTCTGCCTGCTTATCTTTTCTTTTAAAACTTTATATTGCCACCTGGGACTAAGCTGGTTTTGAGTTTTATGTATAAAAATTTAAGTGAGATATTGATGTTTGCTTTCTTCCTTCAGCTTTCTCCTAATGGTGGTTTAATAGGAACAGAAAGGGAATTGTAACTTCTGCTGTCTGGGTAACAGAATTTATGGCACTTCATCACTTTTTTCTACTTCTACAAACTCTGTGCCCTCCTTCTTTTTCCTCTCTACTTCGTGTATTTTGTGTGTGTGTGTATGTGTTATGTTTAAAGATATACTCTACTCACAAATTAAAGACTTTGTAGTCAGTCTTTACATTTTTCTGGCTCTGGGTGTTGGTGAGGGTTGAGGATTTAGGGCCAGCTGATCACAGGTGGGAGCTCCTGTAGAGAAGGTTAAAACATGACAGCACATTAATGAATGTGGCTAAATCTCTTCTTTATTAAGTCAGGACTCCTTATTCTTATAGTTTCCTATTTAATTACTCTTAGTACTTTAGGTAAAAGATCAGCCACAGAAATGGCTTTTTTGGTCTTAATATTTTTATAATTTCTAAAAGACTGCAATAATACCCTAGCAGATTTCCAGTATGTGTTTTGGGTAACAATCATTGTAATGTCTTTGTGATTTGTGTTTTTTTAATAGTCTTTAAGAACTTTTGTGTTCTAGGTAGTCTTCCTCAATTGTGTTGTAATTACTATGATTAGAAATTAAGCTGCAGTACATGCCTGCAGTGCTTGTTTCTGTTTCCAGAGAATCAAGAATAATTTAGGCTGGAATGGACCTCTGGAGATAATCTATTCCAGCCTCCTGCTCATAGCAGGTGACCTTCTAAACCACATCAGGTTGCTAAGAGCCATGTTCAGATAAGCTTTGAAAATCTCTAAGAATGGACACTCCATAGCCCCTCTGAGCAATGTGATCCATAGTGTAACCACCCACATTGTGAAGAGCGTCCTCCTTGTTTCACACTGGAATATACCCTGCTGCAACTTGTGTCCGTTGCCTTTTTTTCCTTGCACCTGCAAGTCTGTTTTGGTAGTCTGTTAGTCCCACAGTAGACACTAAGACAGCATTTAGGTAAATACTCTGTTCTCAAGGCTGTACAAAGCCTGCTGCCTCTGCCTCTCTTATGTGGTTTGTTGCAGCCCCCTTGCTGAAGTCACACTTCTCTGTTGGCCTCACTCCACTTGATCAGTCTTGTCCTGGAGGACCTAAAAGTGGGTGCAGTTCTTGAGATTCAGGTTTAAAAGACTTTGAATACAAGGGCATAATCACATCTTTTGAACTGCTGGTTGGCTTCTTGTTAATGCAACTCAGTGAGCAGTTGCCCTGCATGGCCTGAGTGGCACACTGTTTCCTCATGTTCGACTCCTTGTTCATCAGGAAAGTCAGGATGCTCTCTGCAGAGGTGCTGCTTAGTTGGTCAGTCAGCAGCCTGCGCTGTTAAGGTTTTGCCAGGCCAGATGCTGGACTTTGTCTTTATTGGACATCTTGAGGCTTTTGTCAAACCTTTCTTGCAGCTAATCAAGGTCCTTGTGAATGACTGCCCTGCCCTCCAGCACATCCCCTGTCCTCACCAAGTTAGCTATTTTCTTTTTATCTCCTTTTTAAAGGAGATACTTTTTAATATAGGTACTGAGGCTTATTACTGAAGGTATTTAGGATTCATCAGGCATTAAGGATTCATCAGAATTAATTTGCCATGCAATAACATGGCACTGTGTGTAACATTTTGCCATAAATATAAACAGAAATTTTTTTACTTCTGCTTTCAGGTTGTAGCAGCAAACTGATCTGGTAAATTCCTTCAGTATCTTTAAGAAATCTAAGATTTACTGACATACATGCTGGCTAAAGTGCTATTTTCCATTTCCAGATTCTTTGATACATTTAAATAAGTGAAAAAATAATCTATGGGACCTTTATAATTGCTATGTTTTGATCTCAAGGAATACTTTCCCCTTTGATGCTGAAATAGTATTTAGCTGTAATTTCTCTGCGGAATTGTTCCCGTTCAGTTGTTGAGGTAGGGTAAGCGGGGAACAGCTTCAGGGAACCTTTTGGGGAACCTTCAACTGATGCTCTGAAGGTACATGGGGCTGAATAATTGAAGTAATACTGCACATGGGGCAGGAAAACATGTTCTTAGTTCCTTTTAGAATTGTGGCCTACTACTAATTTTGTTCTTGAATGTTGAAAGCAGCATACTTGCCAGATATTCTATATTCTAGCTTTCATTTGGCTAAGAAAGTGATAGTCTAACCTGAAACTAAAACAAAATTTAGAATTTATACATTAATTAACTGAATACAAAATTTTTCAAATAATATATTTTAAATAACTACCAAAGATACAGCAGTATTGCATGTGACCACTTGCTTTTTGTAGCAAACTAACCTCACTGAATCTTGGCAATTGTAGGAATTCTAGAAATGAGAACCTGAAAAGCCATGTTATTATGTAGGAATTATTTACTATTCAACAAAAAAAGCATATTCCAAATAATAAAATTACTTCATGAGATCAGTGTGCAAGACATGGTACTGTTTGCATAGCAGTATTTCTCAGTGTTGTTTACTTAGCGTTCATTGCTTCAAAGACATAAATGTGACTTCTTAAAAAATAAAATTAACAATAATTCTCAGATTTCTGAATTATATTACCAAGTTTTCTTTTCCTTTGTATTTCTTTTGACCTCTTTCAAGATGAGGGAATTTTCTTTGCACTGTTTGATTTACAATCTCAGAAAGTAAAAGCATTGGATTGCAGTATCAGTTTTTTGGGTGTTTTTGTCAGATGCCTACTGGGAGTGTTTCATATTAAATTCCAAAAAATATATGTTTCGATGGTTTTTGTTGCCCTGCCTTATAACTTCTCCACATTTTCCCTGCTTCTGTATCACCGTTTAACTAGGTTATGACATATACTTTTTTTCCTAGTTCCTACAATGTTTTGGTTAGTGTATGATTAATTTCTACTGTTCATTAGCTGTACACACAAAAGTAATTAGTACTGTGATTTTAAGATAAGTAGCACATATCCAAGAAGCAACTGAGACCTTTTAAAGCTCTAATTTACTTATTCTGTTAAAGTTCTGTAATGGTTCTAACAAGAAAAGTTCATTTAAGCTGCAGAAATAGCTGGGCTGTGTGTAATCTTACGTGTTTTGTGTTTTCTTTTTAGGTTTTCAAAATAGACCAAAATCCTTAAAAGTGTTTGTTAATCCAAGCAGCCACAAAAGAGAAGCCACTCATGTTTATTTTGAACAAGTTGCACCTCTTTTTAAGCTTGCTGACATCAAAACTGATGTCACAGGTAAATTGTTTCAAAGGCATAGTTTAATCCTTTGTGAAATTAGTACTTAAGCATGCAAAACAATTTGAATTTACTGCTAATCCTTATTGGCTTTGCCTGCAAGTAGTGCAGATGGATCTGTTTAATACAATACAATATATTTTTATTTCATCAAAAAGTGTTTTAGTAATTCTGTTATCATTTGATAGTTTTCCTCCTACAGCTATCAATAGTAGTAGGGTATTTTTCGTACTTTTTAAAGCAAGCATTGTATAAAAAGAAACGAGCATTTAATGAATGACAGTCTTGTATATGCATGCTAAGAGTTGTTCCTCTGTTCTGACAAACACATGTCCTTAAATATTACTTCTCTTCTGAGAACATCTATTGGCCCGACATCATAAAAGAGGCTTATGCAAAGGACACATTATTTCTGGATTCCGACTCAGTTTCAGGGATGACCTGAAAGCCTAAGTGATTAAGTTCTGTAGTGACAAGGGCAGGTCTCACGAGGCACACAGGCACAACTCGGTGTCTGGAGAATGTGAGGGTACAATTTCAGTGTTGTAGTGATGCTGCCTTCTGCTCAACAATAGGTTTCTGATAGCAGGTTTGGATTTAAGGCCCCAAATTCTGCCGGAGTTCTGCTTTGTCATGAATTTGCCCTTTGGCTGTTTCATTTGATTGATGTTTTATAAGAAAGTGAACAGGGGAAAAGCAAATTTTCTTAAAGCAGTAAAACATTAATGATCTGATCATTATTTCTCCTCCCTTCTCTGAAGAGACTGAAACTTATGCTGCATCAAATTTGGTCCCAAAACCACCCAGGCTTACAGAGAAATGATACTAGCATTTCCTGTTCTGAATACTTTTATATTCATAGTATCAAAATTCCCTTTAATACACTGGTGGTTTTTGGTTATGCGTTTCATATCCATGTGAAGTATAAAATCTGGTGCAAGACATGTTAACACAAAAAGATCTTTTTCCTATGTCTGTTGAAATTGATTTGCAAAATAATCAGTTCCATCTTAAATTATAAGACAGAGGGCTCATCCTACAGTTGTCCCTTAAACTTCTTATGAAGTCATGACCAGTCCTGGTTGCAGGCCACAAATCATTCTGAGCAAATCTGATTTAGGCAGGAGAGTGTAATAGTGCAATAAGTGTTTGTATATGAGATTTACCTTGCTAATTTTATTACTTGTATCTATGTATTTTTAAATTATTTAGCCCACAATTTAAAGTAAAAAGCCATTGAAGATTAAAAATGCATGAGAAGTATGAAAAAATTCAACCTGTGTTAAAATTATGTAGTCATAATTTCTTAATTTCCCTTAATTGACAAGGGAACGCCTGCAGCTTTATGTAAGTTCTGATTCTCACAGACATATTTTTCACCTGCAAGCCATGGATGATAGTGTAAACAGATTAATGATAATGCTGTCTCCTGAGATATGGAACATAGCCTTATTTGGTCACAATTTTTTTAAAAAAGGGGTTTTTTTTGTCATGCAAACCTTAGTAAGAGATGACTGACTGTCATGCTGCTAAATTATTTTTTACTTTAAGGAACTATTTAAAGAAAATTACTCTCTTCTTT